TGAAGCTAGCACACTTTTGGGGCTCAGCCAATTCAAACTGTATGTGTTAATATGGAATGCAACCCTGCTACTTTTATACGCGACTAATTTGCAGCAGAAAGTAGACATTTTGGAAGGAATGTAGTGACCCCTGAACGTCTTTTGGGAATATCCCATTATTGTATTTCTTAGGCATGAAAGAGCTGGACGGTAATGTCAATATGCTAGCACGCTAACCATTACTTTGATAGCATCTTCTTCAGCAAATACAACGGCCGCCATTGGCATCGCAGCAAGCGGTTAGCTAGCTTAGCGGCCGTTATATACACCAAAGAGTGAACGCCTTGGTTCATCGTGGTTGAACTTGAAGTAACTACGTAAATTAAGTGACAGGTAAACAACGCATTGTAGAAAAGGAAAACATCGGATAACATTCATCGTCTCAGAGCCGTGAATACAAAACGAGTCTTGGCTACCGAGAAGTCAAATTGACCAAGATGACGAGAGACGTGTTGCTAAAATGGCTAAAAGGAAGATGTTCTACAGTCTGGTGAAATCCTCGTTTGGACAGATTTGAAACAAGCGTGAAGATGAAGACACAGAACAAAAGCATCACTCACAACCTCCAAAAATCCACTGATTAGTTTCACTTCTCGCTCTCTTAAACGGTAGTATGCTAATGTTGGAACAGACCAATTCCAACCCACGATTCAGTGGACTCTTTAGCTTTGAACCATAAATTCACATTATACACACTGCAATTGTATCCTTCATTAGTAACTTTAATTGCATTTGTTAACCATGAGCCAGTAATGACTTAAATCCTGTTTTTCTTCTCACACCCACATACATGCAGCTCGCGGCCTTCTTCTTTTTCCGCTTGTCAGCCACCGATAATAAACACAGGAGAACATTCTGGAAAAAGCTCTTTTAATATGTTTCCTTTTTTTTTTTTGTAAATGGATCATCAAATTAATGGAAACTGCTCAATAACTGCTGCAGCGAGGAATGCTTCCCACCTAATTGAATTAGGGTTTTCATTTCTGTGATTTCTGTGTTTGTTTTTGGCAGCTGCCATCTGTTTGCCCGGGACCAGCTCTATTAATAAGCTATTCAGATTGAGATGGGGCTTTATTCCAGCAACTGTTTCTCACCTTCTCTCTAGCCCTCTCTCTCTCTCTCTCTCTCTCTCTCTCTCCCCCTTTTCTCGCTTCCTCGCTCACTCAAATGATTGTCATGGAAATCATCAGAGGTGCCAAAACCACAAACAAAAGAAAAAGCTTCAACATACACCTGAGCCAAAAAGAACAGAACTGCAGTCTAATTACGAACGGAACAATTAAGACTGTGCATATTTATTGACAGGGGACTTCACACAGGAGCATATGCTCATGAATACCAAAAAAGTGAAGGCAGGATGGGATGGGGGTGCTGGTGGAGGATCTGTATGTCTACGCGATGGTGTTGGCTAAAAAGGACACTTCAACCCCGGTAGGCAATGGAAACGTACTATTTCATTATTGACTCATTCTGTGCAATGTTTTCATGTAACACCTTTCTGAAAGCAATATGGCTCATTTCCAACGCCTCAAACAGACGAAGATAATAAAAGAAACAAAGAAACTTAAATGTGCTCATGATCACCAGCTGCCGATATTAACCCCCATTGTCTCTCTTCTTCTTAGCCTTCCTGTTGACAGCCACGGCCTCCTCACATCGCTCCCAGAACAAGGCATTCCAATCTGGGCTTTGCTCGGTATTCCGATCACACACGTCTCTCCTCCAGTAATACAAGTCTACTTTAAAATTCATAACTACATTTGGAAAGAATAAAAGGGTGCCCTGATGGAATATTTCCAAGGAGCTTACTTGAGCGAAAATACAATTCGCTTTGGCATATTTAATAACCCTAACCTGGTCTTTAAGACATACAGTAGTAATAACAATATTAAAAAATACTGGCAAGGGGGAAAAAAGAAGAAATCCAAGCTGTGCCTTAGCATGAAATGAGGAGCAATAATTCCTGCCCCTAGGAGGAGGAGAATGAGGAAACGATAGAGAATGAAAGAAAAAAGGGGGAAATGAATGAGACGAGAGATGGAGAGAAGCCTCGTCAGAGTTAGAAAGAGTCAGCTCAGCTCAACTCTCTTTTTTTTTCTTCTTTTTTTTCTGCCTTCTTCGCCCTCTCCTCTTCTGCCCGGGAGGCAGTTTGAATTGAATCAAACAACCTAGATTGATTAAGCTCGGATGAATGACTTTCCAATGACACAGGACCCAGCTTCAGCCTCGCCCCCCCCCCCCGTCCCTCTGTACATATTTGACATGGTTATTGAGGAGTTGATGTGAAAGCGATTGCGCAGTTGATTCCTCTGGTTGAAACGTTCTACCTACACCGACTGTTGTCGCCATTGTTCGTTTCCTTGAAAGTCCCCGTTTGATTCCTACTGAATCCCGCTTTGATTCGAACGCCTCTCGGGGAGAGAAGCACAATGAATGAGTGTGAGAAAATAGATAACATGCTCCTCCAATTGGAATATGAATTGCTCAGCCTGAGCTTCAGCATTAATCTCTCGCCCTCTTTCCTCTCTCTAGTCCTTTTGTGTTAAGTGGGAGAATAAAGAAAGATTGAGAGAGAGAGAGAGAAAAAAAACTAGAAATAGAGTATTGAATATTGTGGGATGTCCTGTTCTGAATTAGGTCAGGACCAATCAAAGCCCCCCCCCCCACCCCCCCTTTCCTTTCACTGAACACCAATGCTCTCTTTGTGATTCTCCTGCATGGAGAGACAGAGACCCCTACTGTTTCTGACCGTGCATAAGAACCAGTCGGACTCCTCCTCCTTCAATGATCTACTGCCATCTGTCTGGTACGATGCGCTCTGCAGGACACGATGGAGCCTGGACCCTTTATGTGCATTTAACATACAGTCCTGTCACATACGCCTCGTGTGGGGAAAACGACACGACGGTGTCACTCTTGGCCTTTTGGGCAGCAGTGGAGGTCTTGTGATGATCTTCTGACACAGCAGCTATAGGATGGTTGCTGAGATACTTCATATCACTGAGCAGTGTGCTCCCCGTCACGGTTGGACAGGATGTTGTTGTTTTATCTCTTTTGTCTGTTTGTCAGGTGTATTAAAACCTGCTCGGGCCGTTCTGTGTGAGGAAATAATGAAACGGCTGGTCACAAAAAGTGACCGTTCTGTGAAAAACCTCAACATCTTTACCTTTGTACCTCTGTATCATCAGAACATGCACTTGATGCACCCTGTCAGTGAATATATTACCCATTAAGAGAGAAGCTTGATGGGATTGGCATTGGGGAGGTCTTTGTTTTATTATTGTTCACATTATCTGCTCACAGTGTGATGATTCAAGAGGAAATTGTAATGTTGTCATTTAAAAACGACATTGTCATCAAAATAACAACTCTTAAAAGGAATTACATATATTAGTTTAACACAGAATTACCGAGTATAAATGCGTAAAAAGAGAATTAGAGAATTAGTAAAAATAACTTTCATTACCAAAGCCGTGAATCATTTAGGACATAAAACCATAAAACCTGGAAAAGTCTACTGGATGGGGAAGAAAGAGAGAAGCCCCCGTTTGACTGAATGCTATCTGGGCTAAAGCGTCACCAGTACAGTCCTTTAAAAGAGAAAGCGCATAACCATGACCAGCCGTTACTTGTCTCGTCCGCGGCTCTTTTGTGTCTGCATTCAACGTGCAAAGAATATTTCAGGTTATCACTGAAATTCAAAAATAATGCCCGGTTGGCAAAAGTGTTAACACTGCCTATTCAATCTTATTCTGAATCAATATTTCTTCTCTTTGTGTGCGATAGTGTTTTCTTTCCAGGCGTCAACACAAAAGATTGCACAGATTGCAAAGTGCATTCTATAAAGTGCAACATTATCTCCTCGACCCTTCCCTTACTAACATCATATTTTCCACCAATACTTCCCCCCTTCCTCTCCCTCCTAAGTGCCCTTCCATTTTTGTTAATCAAAATATATTCACACAATCTCCTCCTCCTCCTCTCCAGCGGATCTGAGAGGCTGATTGGCAATTTCAGCAGCAAAACCACAGTTCGGGGGGGAAAAGACGGACGCAGCCAATCTGAGAGCTCCCTGCCGTTACCGTGGCAACATCTCAACAAGACAAGAGGGGGGCTCAGAGGACAGAGGAGGAGAGAGGAGATGTGATCAAATGTGAACACTCTATTCTGATCTGCACAGGGCCCCATGTACGCTATTGCTCGACTCACTTCCATTTGTCGTGCAATGCAAATGCACACGTGCGTTTGACGAAAAGAAAACGCACGCACGCGCACACGCGGCATCTGCCTGCATCACTGATAACACTACTGCTCGTGGCAGTGAAAGCATATAAGAGGGTGCTGTTTGCGCGCTCCTCTCACAACGGCCAGCAGCAGGCCTCACTGTCTCCGTCACACACACACACACACACACACACCGCTGACTTAAACGTCTCATCATCGTCTCCGCTCTTCTACCGTTGCACAGATCCGTCTGGACTTAATAAAACTGTCAGATCGCCGACTGGGTCGGGATCGCTGTCTGAAGCGTGAGCAGTGGAACAGATCATTAAAGGCCGTCAGATATGATGGTGGAGGTTGTGGCTGCATGTGAAAAGGGGGACATTATTAAAAGGGCCCTGCGAGGCGGTTTGAGAGCCCTAAGAGAGCAGATGGATAAACGGATGGACGCTTTTATTCAATCCGCTTTCTTCAATTCATTTCTTCATCGAGGGATCAAAATATAAAGTTTGAATCTACTCCAACGGGAGACCTAATTTGGTCTTGATTTATCGGAGAAGAAGATGAGCCGCTGTCGCTTTGTACACTTACAATTACACAATACAATTTTTATTCATTTTTAAAATGATTGATTGATATATTTTGTGGTTGCGGTTGAGCCTTAGTGAAGCCAATGCAAGGAATTAAATATTAAAAAGTGACATAAACATGTAATCAATGAAGCAGAGTAAAGGAAACAATAAAAGTTAACAAAGTTTATTACATGTTTATATACAAACAACTCTGCAAGGCACACCTTTGTTTAAATAAGAATATACAATGCATCTTATTCTTGAAAGCCAACAGGTATTAGTTTTTTAAATATATATTAATACAAGTCTGTTTAGTGTTTGACACGGAGAGAAGGCCCCTAGTTGTGGATGTTCAGTCGACACAAATGAAAATACAAAAAACAACAACTCAACACCTCTAAATGGTAAAATAACAAATCTAAATGTGGACATTTGCGTAGAACGGAGACCATCGGTAGATTCTGATAAACACTGTTCATCCTCGCTTTGATTTATTCAGAAACGGGCAGAAAGACAAACAATATTGTAAAATCTGTGCTTGTATTGTACATACGGGATTAGAGGTTTAGGTGTCATCCATCAACACACAACTCTAAAAACACAACAGCTCTCATTTGATGCTTCATGTGTGTTGAAATGAAAGATAACGCAGAGTCACACTGCCGGACGTCCAAGGAAGGAGTCTTTTCTTCTCAGATGTATTGATTAAGCTATGTCAACTAGCAGAAAAAAATGATATTTTAATGATATGCGTTAGGCATTTCTTTTTGTTAGGCCATGGATGAGCACACTCAAAACAGGGAAGAGAGGAAAATAAAATAACAAGTTGCTGAGCTGCAATGCACAGGACATTTTGTTTGATATTTGGAACATAAAAAGCAAACATTATCGTTGTTCATTGTTCAGCTCAGATTATTGATTACGTAATGATCGGTCACATCATTCTGTCAGTCCACTAAAGCTGCCTTTGTTTAAAAAGAAAGAAGAAGAAAAAAGTTTGTCCAACATCAATCAGGACATTTGTGAAATAACTTATTGTTATGACAGCGCATAAAGCAACTATTGAAAGATGATGAAAGGACGCTCAGTGCCAAGGCCCAATCATGACTCATGAAACAAAGCAAAAGCTTTTGCAAAACAATGACAGGAAATAGTTGGTATTTCCAGCTTGGAAACAGTAAGATGCAGGATGTCGTGTTGCACAGTTTGCCACCATGACGTGTGACAAACCAACCGAAAAAAGACTTGACAAATGTCGAGACCCCTTTAGTGGCTGCTGAGCACTCCCCTTTACTCGACGGTCTATCCCTTCCCATAGAAAGACCAACAGGTTCCCGACCGGAGAGGATCCTTTAGAGGGCTGAAAGAAAGTGGTGAGTCGGCACCTTTTTCCCAGGCTGCATCCTCTGGTGTTCCAGAGTCTTCTGGCTCTGTGATTTATTGAATATTCCTATTGTTGACGTACCAGATGGTTGACTGTGATCATGCCAGGAGCCCCAGTCGCTTGACCTTGGCAGACAGGAAAGAGTGGATGATGAAGACTATGGTCTTTGGGCAAGAATGGAGGTCCAGTTGCTGAAAAGAGAAGATGAGAGAGTGCAGGAAATATGAAAACAGATAGAATTTATTTAAAACAAACAAAACTGCAGTTTAATTTGATTAAAACAATCCCAATACTGTTAAATTTGCAATATGAATCAATTCTTATTCAATAGGGGTTCCTAGTGGTAGAAATAGTAATGGACCGCAACTGAAAGCTGAGCGGATGCTTCATTCAAATGTTGTGCTTATCTAAAAGATCTTCAATAGCAAACACACGTTTCATTACAACAACTAGAGCTTGTTTTGACAGCTCGTATTCATAGTAGTTGTAATGCAACAATATTATAAAAGCGCTCCACGTTAGAAAAGTTCAATGGAAAATCAGTAACTTACAATCTCGGCCTCTTGCCCCCCGAAGTCGAGGAACATCATGCGAACGCCGTCATCTGAGGACATTCTGAGGCGCTCGAACGGCTGCTGCAGCAGGATGCTTTTCCTGACACCCATCTCTTGTGTAAATAGTGTGAAACCCTCATCAATGTGGACTCCCAAGGTGCACTCCTTCCCATTCCAACTACAGGCTGCCAGGGTAGAAAAGAACAACATGACTTGCACAGAGGCAGACAAAGGGAAGGTAATGTCATAATTTCTCAGCACACAGCTGCAGTTCTTGTCAAACAAGTCTGGATTTTTGGTGCATATTTCTTGCGTTCTCATTATGTTGTGAGTTCAGTGTAGCAGGAGTTGATATAAAAGCCCAGAATCCTTGGCTGTATCCTGTGAATGTGAGACTGACAGGATAACAAAATGATTCAAATGATGGGTTTCGTTAAGAAGGAGACAAGAAGCCTTAGTTTAAATGGAACACTCGTCCTAATTCAGATTCTAAAATTGGTTCGGTTTAGGTTGGAGGTTTTTTCACTACCTCGTGCTACCAGCAGAGGGCAGTGTAACAGCACTACGACTCGAGTTCACTTTGAGGACTAAAATGCAGACTCTGAAGCGTGGAAGTGGAAAGAAGCTGCAGTCCGACTCTACTTGCATTTAAATTATCTGGTGACCAAAAGTTTTCCTTTCTAAAAAAAAAACCCCCACTTCAAGTCGTTTAACAAAGAAGCAGCCGGAGGATTGAGGACATTTTGCAGAAGACAACAGGCCCTAAATTATTGTGCGAGAAAGAATTAACACGACAACGATTAATCATAACTCCTAATCCTGCTCTGTGAGCCCCTTTTATGTGCAGCGATGTTCGTGTCTGTTGAGTGGAAACCACGTCTTGTGGCCGAGCCGTAATTTGCACGGATTAAACAGATCTGCTCCATTTGAGCATTTTGCATTGCAGGCCGCTCAGAATTGGAGTTTTACAGCGTGACAGACGCATCTTGTGTTGCATTTGTCAGTGTGAAAGACTCATCAATCCATTTCTTTAGTGACGCCGTTGTCGTGTTTCCGTTCTGGGCTCCCAGTTTACTCAGTCAGCTCAATCGTGCCTCAAAAGGAGAGTAACAGCGTTAAGGGAGGATGTGAAACAACAACGACTGTATTGATCAGATTTACTGTTGGTCCAAGTACTACTTAAATTAATAAACTATGAGGTCCTTACTTTGAACCACTGATAGAAGCAGCAACTGCAACCTGATCCAGAAAAGCTGACCTTGAAAAATTCCTTCTTATGTCCTATAAGACTTTAAGCCTCTCATCATGTCATCATAACATTCAAGAGAAGATCTGAATGTCTCGACTCGTGGGGTGAGGAACTGTGTAGCGAGGTCAGAGTCACCGGAGGGGGGGGGGGGTGTTAAAACAAATCTCTGCGTCCGTACCCGCGGTGACCTCCTTGACGAGCTCAGCGGCGTTGTGGCAGCCCTCCACCACCAGGTGAGTCCAGGTGGACAGCTCCTTGGCAGAGTCCACCCTGAACACGTGGGTCTCTACGCCCTGCTTGGTGCCCGAGCGCAGGCCGAATGAGAGGTCAGAGTCCAGGAGGGGAGAACTCTTCCCCGGGCCGGAGTGGACCAGTCTGAACGGGGGGAGAGAGAGAGAGAGAGAGAGAGAGAGAGAGAGAGAGAGGAGAGTGCGAGAGGAACGTGGGTGAGAGAGAAGATAGTTAAGACTTCAAAAGACAAAAGAATGAGCCATGAGAGCAAATTAAGGGGTATTGAGGGGAACCTTTAAGGCAATGTGGTGCGCACAGGAGAGAACGGGGAAACGACATGAGTCATAGGCTCTGCTTGCGCTGATGTTTTCCAAATGAGTGTGACTCAAATGTCCAACAGTCCAGCTGTGGAAAGAGTGAGCTTGTGCTCTCCTGACTTGGCCAAAACAAACGCAGTTTCCCCCCCCCCCCTCCCCTCCCCCATTCTGAGCAGCTCAGGGTGGAGCACATGTGTTTGTCAAATGCCAAACACGCTACGTGTGCTAAGCGCGCGCGGATGAATATGGAGCACTGTGTGAGCTGCGTGTGGACGCAGACATCTGCGAGGTCTAACCTGGTAGCGATGAGCGGGTGGCTCTTGGCGGGGTTGCCGAGGCTCTCTTTGCTCTCCGGCAGGGAGGGATACAGGAGCAGGTCTCGGTCGGTCAGCATGGCCAGGACGGGTTTCTCTGGACCCTGGCTCACCTGCACATTTACACCACGGTTAAAGAACCCAGGGAACGAAAAAAAAGGCAGCAAAGCAGAAGGACCCAACGGGGGGTTTCTCCTTGCAGTGTGCGTACCGTGCACATCTGCGTTCTTGCATACCTGCTCTGTGATCCAGCCCAGATGTTTGACCTCCACTCCCTGTTGCATGCTCCTCATCTCCTCCTTCACTCGCGGCAGGAGGCTGGCAGCGCCGGCCTGGACGGCGTTGTACCAGGACTGAGCCACGGCCGGGTCTTTGGCCCGCAGGAACACAGAGTTCCTCCTGCTGGACGAAATCACCTCGAAATACCTGGCAGACGAGATGTGAGGGAGAGGGAGGGGGGGGGCAACAGAAAAGGGTGCAGTTGAAGCTTCCGTGTGGAGAGGGTGTTTGAGATGTTAACAAAAGAGTGCTTCACTCTGTAGTTTTTTTTTCTCCTTAAACGACTGCACGCGCGGATCAGAACCCGCGGCGCGCTCTACCTGTTCTCCGTGTCGGGGGGGCACTGTTTCCGCGACACCTGGCACATCTTCAGCGGGATGCTGCGGGGCTCCTTCACCTCAGCGGGGGAGAGCTCGGTGCCCGTGTGGGGCGTGGAGGGGGGGGAGTCCCAGGGGAGGGTGGCCCCAGGGGACCCCGAGTTTTTAAAGAAAGCCGACATCTCCTTGATGTACTTCACTGAAACAGAATGAAAGATGGAGAGAGAGAAGAGAGAGAATTCGATCAGTCGGACAGAGGAGGGAGAGGTGAAGGAATTTGGGATGTGAATAAAAAGCCTCGCTGCCCGTCGATGAGTTGAGAGTTGTGGCAGCACTTTACAGGCTTGAAAACAGACTCCTCGGCTTTAAGTGATAATCATCGTCTCCCATGAAGAGAACAATCCCAACACGGAAAATGTGCAGATTTTCTCGCAGATAACATCCATGTCTCTTTTTAACTTTATTATTTCATCCTATTGAACGTGTGAAAATGTCATTATAATAATAGTCTTGACCTTGAACCACCGGATTCTAATCAGTCCCACCTTGATTCTGAGTACAGGTTTATCTGTTATCTATGGGCGATTGTGGCGTGGGCGGGCACGTCTGGAGCGCCAGCTGTTGGGGTAAAGGCTGTGGTTTACTCCGCCTTTGTGCCACTAATCGTCATTCATGATCGAATTCAATTCTTAAAACATTGGTCCTTTTTTTTCTTTTTGTGCAATTGCCCTTTGGGAAAAAAAGTGATTCACTGAGATTAGCTCATTACCCTCATTCATGAGCATTAGTGGTCGTTATGCCAAACCCAAATCAATACGGTGAGTAGCGCTACTAGTGACTGCGCTGAAAAGAAAAGGGGCATCTGTAAAAAAAAAAAAAATGAAATGAAAGGGGACAAGAGGTGTATAAAAAATGATTGTTTCCACATAACTGGTCCGATTTCATTTGTATTTCCAAAACATTTGTGACATTTCTGTCCCACCTTAAATTACCTAAAAGGCCCCTAATTAGAAAAGGTTGACTATAACTATTTTACATGTTATTCAAGTAGAACTGCAATATATTAAGAGCCATAATCATTGTCTCTTTTTTGGAACATTGCCCAGCTCTTTTCTGCACACATCTGTTCTTATATTCGCCGTTTTACCACTCACACACCTACATACACCTACTCACACACACACACACACACACACACACACACACACACACACACACACACACACGCACACGCACACGCACACACACACGCACACGCACAGACTCTGGTCCAGCACGCTGTGGTATGGGTTTGGCAGGAGTACCGCTGCTGCTGGAGTAAAAATAGCCCAGAGGACATGGCAACGTATGAAGGCAGAGCTCTGGTTTCACCGGGGAGGGGGGAAGTGTGCAGCGCTCTTCTCGACACACAAGAGCCACAGCGGCCCGGGGGCCAGCAGAAGAGCCAACGGGGGAGAGGGGGGGTGAGGGCCGAGTGGACGCTCCTTCTCCTCTGGGATTTCAGTCCACTTCGAAAAGGTTGCGCCCAGATCTCCGTGATTCTCGCCTGTCGGATGGCGGCAAAGTGCGACGCCGACTAATTGACATCCGACCCAGCGGGGGGGGGGGGGCGTCGCAGGAAATTGCGCGCGATGACGGAGATTGCTCACCTGTTATCTGGCGCTCGACGAGGCGGTTATCACATTTCTTCTCAAATCCCCCCCCCAGCCGTTCTTGTTTCAGTCCAATCTGCCAGTTTAAAATCCGTAATATGTTCAAAAGCTCGCTGCGCCATTATTGGCTCTGTGCAGCAAATGTGAGGTGAGCGTCATAAAACGCTGCCTTCTTTTGGAGGGACGACGTGTACTTAACTGTAGAAAAATGGTGCAGAAATGTTGTTTCTGCACCTGCTATAACCGCGTCCATGGAAAAATGGGATATATTCTTCAAACCCAGTGCCGACTTTAAAAGTTTGAAGGGGACTTTAATGGGAATGACCAAAACGCTGCGGCTCCTCTGACGCAGCAGAATGTCATCTTCCTGTCTCTTCTTCTTCTTTGAAAACTATCCAATAAAACTGTTATACTGTCCTGGATCTCGAATGTGTCTCTTATCTTTCTCTTCCTTCAGAGATAAGGTTGGTTTCAGTTTGGTTGGATAGCAAAACTCGAGGATCGCGTCGCGTGTTTGGAAGAAGCTGTCAACTTGCATGGAAATGAGCGTTGCTCCATTTGTTCCCCGTGCCAACCTACCGGCGTCCGTGCCAACTGCTCCCCTGTTACTGGACCAAAGCCATTCAGAATTGATGTGGTCAATCTCAACATGGCAGGCGAGGTCACGTGACCAGGAACAGAAGTGGGATTTCATGCATCATTGTGACAGGTGGACGCCAAGATCTAAATGCTTTAATTATACCGGATTATAAAAAGCTGGTGATATTTCTGAGTTTGTTCCTCGTGTGGGTAAAATAACAGGTTAAGACAATAGGCTGATAATAAGGAGTGGACGTAGTTGTAGTGATGCACACCCATTGACGTGTGGACTGTTGTGTTCAAACTCCATAACATTATTTATAATTATGCGCGACTGAGTTCATGGTCGTTCCTGCAGAACTAAACCGCGTGGGGGCGAAACAACGACCGTAACAAGCGTAAGAAGACATTCACTTTATTTTTTTAATCTCCACATCGGAAAAAACACAACGTGGAGATTAGAAATCTCCCGTATTTAGTCGCGGACCCACAAAACAAATGGGACGAGATGGCTCTCGACCAGAGTGGTGAATGAAAAGCAGAGCAGAGAGGGATGCTGAATCGAGGGGGAGGCGGACAGAAACTGACGACGTTGGAAAGAGAGAGACGGGAATGAAAAGGGTCGAGAGAATAAGAAAGAGAGAGACGGGAAGAATAAAGGAGACTGAGACTGGCAACACTGGGACACACCGAACTAAGCTCAGCCAGAAATGTTGCCATGAATACCAGCGGCGGCACATTCAACACACAGCTAAAATTAGCTGAGATGGCACCGTTATTACTGTAGCTTATCTGGCAGCCAGCAAAACTACTTTTTGTGCAGTGTGTGTGTGTGTGTGTTTGTAGGAGGAGTTTGTCTGCTTCTCCTTGCACAATCCGCCGCTAAGCTTTTTCCTTCTAACGTCTTCACATTGAACCTCCCAAATCCTCAACAGACATTTTCAGCAAATTCACTTTTGACACAATTCACTTTACGGCGGCCTGAAAAACTCCTTTTTTCACCCCGGATGGTTCAAATTGCTAAAGCAGCGGTTCCAATTTCCAAAACTATGCTTAGCCAATATTCTCCATTGTGTCGATTGGCTTATAAACACACACACACACATCAACCTGACCCTGCATTCACACACACACTCTGATGGTTTGATAATTGCTTCTACAGATGTCTCCTCGGAGAACCAGCGAGTCGATGTGGCTGGCGGTCGCTACCGAGTCACCGCTCAAAATGCGCCACAGGCGAAACAATGAGCCCCCCCCCCCGGCCACCGGTTGCCGTGGGAGCAGCAGGAATGTCACTGGCCGCTCAGCGACTTCAGAAGCACGCTGTTGGCTGTGTGAACCGTGTCAGGCCAAGAATGTTCCCAAACAGGGACACTCGCTGGGCTCATTCGCTCCACCGGTGGGCCAACGAGGTCAAAGGTCCGCCGATCGTAAATCGGACGGTGTGGAACATTCAGTCCTTCGTGTTTGGAGAGAGCGAAGATGGAGAAAAAGGCAGACGCAACTAAATATTAGGAAGATGTTGATACTTTGCGTGCAGAAAGTGAGTGTGAGTAGATCCTCGACTGATATCGGCGAATGTTGGCCGATAAGTAACACAGTCCGTGGTAGAGTACACCAGAACAATCCAAAGCAGTTTAAGACATACTTATGTTTGTTAATATTATAAACAAGTCCGATTTGGCGCTAACCCTTCTCCCTGTGACATCATCTCTCCCAGTCAGTCAAAGATTTCTGCAATTCCCCAATTTTAAACAGCTTTGGATAAAAGCTAATACGGTCAATAAATGTCATCACAATAAAAAAAGTGTTTTTTCTGAATAATAACAATGCATTCACGCCATCCCATGCCTATAAGCCCCACATCCTCCATCCCCTTCTTGCACACTGTGCACAACACTGTGAGAGGGTTCAGTGGAGACTGAGCCTGTAATGGAGAGAGTGGCACAAAGACCCGGCCACCCATTTATCAGGGGCCTCGATCCGGGTTCACAGGGGGACTGTTAAGAAAACTTGACGCCACAGAGGGAGAGAGTTGTGATTTAATAAAGCTATGTTGTTGCGAGTTAATCCATTCCCTCGCCGAGTCCGAGCACAAAGTCGTCACGGGCCGGCCGCTCTGACGGAAAAGCAGCCGCGCTTTGTGTCCGCAGGGTTTGAGGTTTCAGGACGGAGTCACGGGAAGTAGAGAGCAACGCAGAAGTAGAAGTGCATGAGTTATTCTGTGAGCACGTATCATTGAGATTCACTTTAATTCACAGAATAAGCCACGCCCATTTTTTTCTCTTTCTCAGCTGATTCTATCCACCGTTTACGAGACAGTGATATATAGTGAGAACCAGTTTGCATTTCGGAAAAGAAGCATTTATATCACTTTGTTTTTCATAGCACACGATACCGGGTCTGCTAACTTCACGTTTACCATGCATCAAACTATCCACAAGAAAGAAGCTTGATAAAAGAATAACCAGTATATATTTTTCTCTACTATGGATTCTTCTCCAAATAACTTGCAGCAGGAAAGCAAAAAAAGTTTGACTTTAGTGAGATGAAACGAGATGGCTCGTTTTTTGTTTGATGTGAAAGTTTATCTGAAAGAATTTGGAGCATCTATTTCTCTGAAAGTGCCAAGTACATTCAGTAAGAAACAGTTACATGCAGGCAGTGTTAAGCAGTGAAAAAAGGGATTGAAGAAAACGTAAAAAAAATATTAAGACAACTTTCTTTCTTTTTTTTATAGTCAAAATACGGTCAAAAATTGTAATGGAAAAACAGGTAAAAATATATTAGATTGAAAAATGTTTTTTTCTAAAAGGTGAAAAAATATTAGGTCCAAAAATGTTCTGAAAAAAAAGTACCTCAAAAATGTGAAAGAAAAAAAAGTTTTATGAAAAAAGTTAGGTTGAAAAATGTTTTTGTTTTTTTAAGTACAAAAAATATTAGGTCGAAAATTAAAACCAAAACATTA